ACCAAATGGCCTTAGTCAGAGGATACCTAGAGAGCAAACACTTTAGCAGCCACTCCCTCCCAATCTACAGAAAATGAAGACGTCTCTTTCGAACCTGAAGATCATGGTGAGGCATCTCCCGCTCTCTCTTGCTTCCACTAATTACTAGCCTTGTTCCTTTCTGAACCAGGCAGTCGATCAGCCAACCTCCTTTGTTAGCAAAGGAGGCGGACAGTCAGAATCTTTGAGACAAAGATGATTGGAATTGCTCCCAGAATTCAAGGAGTCAGTGTAAGGCATCAGAGCCCCCGCCAAGCATTAAACAATGACGAACAAACCGAAGCCTGGGATTCCCACCACTACCACCACCATTCATCATCGCTCTATCGAGGGCTGAGAATCAGGCCAGGAAGACCTTTCCCTTTCAGAGAAATGAGAAGACCCTCAGGCCCCTCCTCCACAGCTCCCCCAGGACTCCTCTACACCTTGAGCCGCTAAGCAAGCTTTTAACCGCCAAGAAGCCCAGTCTCCGCCACACACAAGATGGCAGCCCAACACCTACCGGAGGAAACAGCTGCGCCACCACTCCAGCGATGCCGGCTCTCGACTGCGGGTATCCCCATTGGTCCAGCCAGAGAGCGCGAGACAACCCGAGAACGCTGACAGCCAATCGGGAGGCAGCGCGCTCCGGCGCCGTCGCGTTACCCGCGGTATGGGCACGGAGTTCTAGGGCGTGGACCCGGGGTGTGCAACCAATGGGCACCCAGCCAGGCGGTGGGATCCGTTGGTGTCCGACTCCTCCCATTTAGGGTTCGCCTTTGGTAGACCTGAATGTTATAGATTGGGTGGTCGTCCCTCCCCGGATGAGGCTCAGGGTGACAGTTGTTGCCGAGGAGAGAGCTAGTAAATGGTGAAGTACTTCCTGGCCAGGGGGCACCTAGTGCCGTGGAGTCTTGGTGGAGTAGAATCGGAGAGGAGCCTGACCACCTGGGAAACCCAGCCTCGCTAACGGAGCGGGCGGAGTACAACCCTCAGGTCTAGCGGGCGGCGTGGAAAACGCAGTGGAGCGTGTAGCCTAGGCACAGCCGTAGGTGGCCCCCGGCGGGTCCTCCGGCCCAGGACCTGGGAACGGGGCGGAGCTCAGCCGCGTGGATCCTAGCCCTTGCAACCTCCTATCTCCTTTCACCCACGTGCAGTCCTGGGCTGGAGAGGGGACTGCGGGCGCACTGAGTTCTCAACTCCTAGTGCAGTCTATCTCGCGTTGTACACCTTAATGTGATGTGATTCCTAAGCAGCTGGGAACCCGAGGCTGTAAAAGGGGCTGCAGGAAATGGACTGCAGTATAAAATCCAGAAGCAGAACTTGAAGGTTTAACCACTCACCCATTTCACAGGTAAGACTACACAAGTAAAATCATCTATCCAAGATCACAGAGTTGAGATCAGATCCTCAGAGCACCAGACTCTCATTAACCACTACCCAGTAAGTAATTACCCAATGCGTAATTAAAGTAAGGAACAGTATGTAATTTACTGTGCACTTTGGCATGTGGAAACCTGGAATGAGTTGTGTATGTATTCATGAATAAGAACAAGAAAAGAGGTAGCTGAAGTGGTAGAGTGGAATAATCAAAATACGTGTGCTCTGAAACCGTACTTCCTGTTTCCTTATTTTTCATTTCTGCCACTTACGTTGTCGTGCTTTAATTGCCTCACTTGTAAAACAGGCATGCTAATTTATCTGATTGTTATGCAGAATAAGAACAAATGAAGTATTTACAAGTGTGCCAGGTACATGGTTTATACTCAAGAAATGTTCATTACCGTCATAATTAAAACATGAGGAACAGAGAGGAATGGTCAGTTTTGTAAGAGCCTGTTTTTAAAATGAAAGGGACCATAAATTGAAGTGAAATTGACTATTTTTCTGCCAAATGAAAAAGTGGGAAGGGAAAAGAAGATACAAATTTTAAAATCCCTGTTACACTCCAATATATTAACACTAGTTGTATCAAGATGATGCAATTATGAGTGATTTAAATTGTCTTTATGCCATTTGGCAAATTTTCTCTAGTAAACGTGTCTTTTATAAATTTAGTTGTTTTTCAACTTTTAGAAGGTATGAACACTGGTGAGAGCTTTCTTTAAAAAGAAGCTTTTACTGAGTAGAAATTGGTATTACAGAACCTTTCTTGGAAAGCAGTTTGGCAATATGCTCCAGAAAGCTTTAAAATGCACAATCCCCTTTTGAAAATTATATACTTAATTTTTAAATAAAGTACCCTTTTTCAAAATTAGAGCTTTGCTGATAAAGAGAACAATCCACAATCCCTGAATTCCCTCTGGCTCCCTCTACTCCACAACAAAGACTGGTGCCAGAGTCTTCAAGTCCTTTTTTATACTTACAATAGGTGTATATATGCATTTGTAATTTTTTAAAAAGGGAAATAGTACTATACTATTTATATAATTCTGTAATTTCTCACTTGACAATGTTTTTACAATGTATACATGTTATTTACAGCTCATTATGTTATTTATGGCTCATTTGTTTTACTGCTGTATAGTGTTCCAGTGTATGACTGAATTAAAATATACGAGGTATGATCAGAAAATACAGTGAATGTTTAAATAAAAAAACTTATTACAGTAAAAGACACATTGCCATTAATCCCCCTCAAAATACTCACCCTTGCTTCGAACACATTTATCCCATCGTTCTTGCCACTTTCTGAAGCCGTTCTGGAAGTCCTCTTTCATGAATGTCTTGAGTTGCGCTGTCGGGGCTGCCTCGATGTCCTCAAACATTTTGACTTTGGACAAGAGCCAGAAGTCACATGGTGCCAAGCCGGTGAATAGGGTGGATGAGGACACACCGTAATGTTTTCATTTGACAGAAATTGCCATATATCAGAAGCGATGTGTGACACGGAGTGTGGTCATGATGGAGGGTGATTTACAGCACACTTTGAAACACACCTCTCAACCGTAGCTCACATCCAACTGACTGCACCGAACAAGTTGAAACGTGTCACACACTGTTACTAAGGTTTGACTTGCCGCTTCCTGTATTGAAGATCCCTACCTTTCCGTTGGATGGCACTCGGCAGCAGTATTCACCGGATTTTGTGATCATAATGGAAAGGGTCCGTGTCACACATCACTTCTGGTATACGGCAATTTCTGGCAAATAAAAACATTACTGTGTCCTCATTTACCTTATTTAATGGATCTAGCACTGTGCAACTTCTGGCTCTTCCCCAAAGTCAAAATGACCATGAAAAGTAAACATTTTGAATCAATTCAGGACATCAAGGCAGCCACAACCACGCAACTCAAGACATGAAAGAGGACTTCCAGAACTGCTTCAGAAAGTGGCAAGAATGATGGGATAAGTGTGTTCGAAGCGAGGAGTATATTGAGGGGGATTAATGGCAATGTGTCTTTTACTGTGAGAATTTTTTTTAATTTAAACATTCACTGTATTTTTTTATTCCACCTTGTATATCTCACTGATTTTCATACTAAATTCTATTTTTGATGTGTATATAGCACATTTTATTTGGCGTTCTCTTGATGGACATTAGGTTTTTCCAATTTTTCACCTTAAACACAATGCTGCAGGGGAATGCTTATATGTGTTTTCTTGTATACAATTGCTGTTTCTCAAGATATATACCTAAAGGTAGAATTGCTTGGTTTTAAGTTGTGAACATTTTTAATCTTAATAGGTCTTGCCAAATTTGTCTTCAAAATACTCCTACTAATTTACACATCCCACAAGTAGTGTTGGAATTTAGTTTCCCTATAATCTAGATCAACACAAGATATTATCTTCTTACTTTTTGCCCATCTGATGGATTAAAATGATACTCATTTTTTTTTAATTTCTCAGATTACTAGTAAGGTTACAGTATCCATGTTTATTAAACTATATTTTATGTAAAGTTCTAAAATTTCTTTTTTAAAGTACTTATTTTTCTGTGGTCTTTTTTTTTTTTTTTCTTTTTAAGATTTTATTGGGGAAGTGGAGCAGCCAAGTTGTTGTCCTTCAATCTTAGTTGCGGAGGGCGCAGTTAGCTCAGCTCCAAGTCCAGTCACCATGCGGACACCCATCAGCAGCTCACGGATGCCCAGCTCAAGGTGCCGTGTTCAATCTTAGTTGCAGGTGGGCATAGCCCACCATCCCATGTGGGAGTTGAACCAGAAACCTTGTTGCTAAGAGCACACGGTCTAACCACTGAGCCATCCGGCCGCCCATCGACAGCCCAGGGCAGCTCAGCTCAAGATGCCATGTTCAATCTTAGTTGTGGGTGGGCATAGCCCACCATCCCATGTGGGAATCAAACCGGCAACCCTGTTGCTCAGAATTTGCGCTCTTAACCAAACTGAGCCATTCAGCAGGCCCTAGTCATCTTTTTCTTAATTAAGGAGTTCTTTATGTGTCTTGGATACAGTGTCTCCTATATAATTTATAAAAATTGCTTCAGTTTCTATAGCTATGTCTTTTTTTTGTTACTACTGTTAAAATGTTGCATTTTCTTCCAACTCTTTGCTTAGCTTTTAACTTTATTTTGTTTTTTGTTTTTTTTATTCTACCAGATTTTTCTCTTCTTTACAATCTTTAGGTCTCTTTGTTTTGCTGCATTTCTCTAAGACTTCCAGTACAATATTCAATAAGAGCAGTGGTGGCAAGTGTCCTCATCCTGTGGTCTGACTTCTCATGAAAATACTTCTCATGTTTCATCATTATGATATTTGCTGCTCGGTTTTAGTAGATAGTCTTTATCAGGTTAAAGAAGTTCTCTTTTATTACTAGTTTACTCAGAGTATGCCTTCTTCCTTCCTCTCCCTAATATAGTTGTTCATTGAATACTTTTTTACATAATTTTATTTTTCTGCATCTGAGATGATAGTTTTCCTCCATTTATCTGTTAACATAGGAATTTACATTGAGAAACTTTCCAATGTTAAACTTTTGGGATATTCCAGGGATAAACCCTACATTGGTAATATACTTTTAGTCTACTGCTGCATATTTTCACTTAATTATTTTTGCTTTTATACCTGGAGTTTGCTTTTGGCCTTGAGTTTCTTTTTTTACGTGTCAAGGTTATACTAATCTAAAAAAAAAAAAGGTTGTATAGCTAGCTTCCCTTATTTTTCTTGCTCTGGAACTGTTAGTATACTATAGAAATTACCTTGAAAGTAATACTATAGCATCCCCTTGAAAGTTTTGTTGAATTCATCTATACAACTTATGGACTTGGTATGCTGAGAGTAAGAGGTGGGGATGTGTGGCGTGCAGCTTTAGTAAGATCTTCAGCTGTTCTTTTACAATTTCTTTTGTATACTTCTCTAATTGGGATTTTTACTTCTTGTGCCTATTAAGTCAATAATATTAATATTATTAAATCAATAATTCAATTAGATGTTTGTGGTAAAATTGTTCTATCCATATAAAATATTTCTCTTTGTCTCTTATTGGTTTTCATATTAAATTCTATTTTGTTGCATACGAATGTGTCTTGCAT